ACCCCCCCGCCACCTCCCCTTTCTGCCCTGCGACAGAGCCTCAGGTCTGCCACGGCCACACACTTGACATGCTGGGTGTGACTTCACCCCCGGAGGTTGCTGGCACCCCAGGACAAGAAGGGTTTCTGTGAGGCTCCAGCTGTGAGACACGAGACTTGGAGGCCAGACTTAAATAGCCTGCTATGAAAGCTGAGCATCCGGGACTGCCCTCATGGTCCAATGGTTAACACTTTGCCCTTCCAATGCAGGGGGCCCAGGTTCGAACACTGGTCGGGGAACTAAGATTCCCAACACACCACGTGGTGCAGCCAAAAAAATTAAAAAATAAATTAAAAAAAATTTTTTTAAAAGGGAGCACCCAGAGAGCCTCCTGAACGGCTGAAATGTTGACACCTGAGCTAGCCCCATCACACACAACTATGCAAAGCAGCAGCATCATTTCATCCACTGTTGGAAAATTCTGCTCCACTTTGGAAAATTTACAGAAGAAAACAGAAGGGAAAAGGCTTGTAGTGATACACAGCATATTAAGTATCACCATGGAAATCACACTGAAAGTTCAAATACAACTTTTATTAAACTTCTTGAACTTTCTTACATGGCACTTTCCCCCAAAGGCCTCAGGAGTGCCTTCTTTATACACTTTGAAATCAAAGAGATGCTTTGAGGGCAAAGGAAAAATCACCTTTAGTGGAACGTTTTACGGTTGGTGCTGTTCAGAGCGTCTCGGGGTTGAAATTCTCAAGACTCCATTTGTTACCAACGATTTAATGAGCTGCTCATTGTATCAGCCATGAATGATCAGCAAACAACTATGCCGGCTCATTTATCTCCTCTAGTTTAATTTGAGTCCTTAAAATAAATGTTCATGTCTGCAATAAAGGGCCTGATATGATTCTTTTGTCTGGAGATTGTAAAACAAGTGTGCCAACTATCGCCGCCTTTAGTAGGTTTCAAGGTCGTCTGCTTTGCCAAGGTCTCTTAAAAACAAGTGCTGCTTTCCCTTGAAACCACTAAAATGTCAGTCCCATGAGGGCAGGCGCTGTCATTTGTTCAGTGCTAATCCCAAATACCTAGCACTGTTCCTGGCCCTTACTAACCAAACAATTAAGATTAGTATAATTATTGGGTGAGTGAATTTTCCATCGTGGCCATTATACATGTAGGTGGAGGTATATATCGCCCACATTCATAAATATCTGTGTTCAGACAGTACACACAAACATGTGAGTGGATGCGGCTGCCCCCTGGGAGAACATGCTATGTGACCCATGATACATGGCTGCTTGCTGTTGGACCAGCAGACCACCCTTCCACTCCATCCTGCTCAAGGGCACCAGCGCTGTCCGTCCCTCACTGCCACCAGGAGGCGGGTGAGGTTTAACCAACATCAGACTATAAAACTTGGCTCTGCCAGGGGGCCCTTCTGTCATCAGAAAACAATACACTAGTTGACATGGGGCTCCTAATAAACAATTAATAACAGGAGAAGCACTCTGCAAAGTGGAATTCTTAAAGGGACAGAGGCAACTTTCAGCTGAAAGAAAGGTTTAACTTAGCTAATCTGCATGAACATCAGTGCCTCTGCAGCATCCAGAAATATGTTCTCGAAAGGTCATGTGCATAAGCATTCACTGTGAAGAATAAAAACAGTTGTTCTGAGTTTCTTGACAAATAAGAATAACTGCTCTATAATAAGAGCAACTGCTGGTAGGCATGTGTAGCCAAACAAGCAGGGCTTTGTGCACCTGGCCTTCCCCACCCAAGGACTGCAGCAGGGTCTGGGATCGGGGAGGAAGGCCAAGGAGGCCAGAGCTGGCAGGAGACTGAGACTTCGGACCCAGGAACTGGGGCCCCAGCCTCACCTTCCCTCTCCCACAGTTGAGGCCATGGACAAGAACTCAACCCCTGTGCGTCTCAGCTTCGTTGTGGTTAACTGGGAGGGCTAGTCTAATTTGGGGGATTCTACAAAACAAACATGACAAACAAACAATATGCATTGTGAATGTGTGTGTGCATGCCTGTGTGCTAAGTCGCTTCAGTCATGTCCGACTCTTTGCGACCCCAATAACCCCAATGACACCAGGCTCCTCTGTCCATGGGATCCTCCAGGCAAGAATACTGGAGTGGGCTGCTGTGCCCTCCGGGGAATCTTCCCAACCCTTGGGATCGAACCAGAGTCTCTTGCATTGGTAGGCGGGTTCTTTCCCACTGGCACCACCTGGGAAGCCCAAGCACAAAAACTGTAAACCGTAATAACACTTGCCCCCACAACAACCCTGCTGATGAAATGAGTTAAGGGAACACTTGGGTTGCAAATTATATATTTGCATAGATTTTAAATATGTTCCCTGATGCAAAGAAAGTCGGGATAATTACTCCAAAGGAGGAAAACCCCACCTTTTTACAGGCAATTAAAGGGGAAGGGCGAAGGTCTGAGCCCGCCCAGATCTGAAGGGCAATAGCAGGCTGGAAGGGCTTTCGAATAATCCTCGGCTGGCCTGGTGGTAGTAAAGTGAACTAAACAGAATATGAATGGCATCTGCTATATGCTGCCATTTACTATGTAACCCTACCAGAGTGTAAGCTCCCTGAGGGCAGGAATCACCTTGACCTCTTTCCTCACCACTTCAGAACCAAGAAGAGTGTCGGGCACGTGGCCAGATGCTCAAGACGCCTTTCTTGAGCTACTGACTGCATGAGTAGACAGCAGAAATCCGTGTATTCATAGAGAAATAGCCAAAGGAAATGAGTCACAGCATTAATGGCTGATTCTAACCCGGGGATTACGGGTGGGATTATGGGTGTCGGACACGTGACTACCCACCAGCACCCAGTGGCCTGGATGTGGAGAAACCCCACTCGTGCTTCAAGGCCCAGCAGCACCATCGCCGCCAAATCGGAACCTGATGCCCATCCCGCGCCCAGCCCTGAGCGCCAGCCCTACACCTGGCGAGGCACTGTGCACGGGTCCTCTCCTCGCCAGATGGGGGCTCCTGGGGGGTGCAGCCAGCACCAAACGAGTTCGGTAGTCCCAGCATCTGGGGCAGCGCCAGGCAGCTTGTTCAACTCGAATGACAACACTTCAGTTCCAAAAGATTGGGGTGAGGATGGGTTGCAAATGTGACACCTGTTAACTGACCCTTAACCGCTAACCACCAAATGTGGAAGCAGCTTCCACTCAGAGGAGCAACTATTACAGAGAGTTTCAGATAATCAGTGCGGCAAACAAGGGCAATCCGTGGCCCATGGAGAACTCTGCTGGGATAAAAGAAATGACCGGGAGCACACGTCTCGCTGCCAGATGGAGGCAGCTGGAGTCAGAGATCCAAACTCCCACGGCCGGCAGGAAGGAGGCAGAACCCCACACGGTGGGGCGCCTGCCCACCCCCTCCTTCTTTGGGGCCCAGGGACCTATTCTGAAGCAAGGCAGCACCTCACACATTCAGAGACTCAAGGTCTTCAGAGCCAAATCAACTATACCTCAATTTAAAAGAAAAAAAAAATTTAAAAATATATAGGTGACACAAAAAAAGAAAGAAAAGACATTTAGAGATAGGAGAACTAGTGCATCTGGTTTTCTGGATGAAGCCAACTGAGGCTCAAGAAAGAACAGTACCCAGCCCTAGACCCTGGGACAGGCAAGGGTAGAGTCCTGGATCAGACCACCTCTCCACTGTGACACGCCCCCCCCACCCCCACCCAGGACTGTCTCACTTCTGTGCCCCTCTGTAGAAACGTCCCCTCTTAGTTGTGGTCACGGAATGATGGTTTTTTTTTTTTTTTTAAGGTGGACATGTTACCTTCTAGAGATACATATTGAAATCTTCATGGATAAAATAAGATGATGCTCTTTTCAAACTTCTAGAAATGGGGGGGTATAGATGAAACTAGACGGGGGTATAAATGAAACTAGATGGGGCCATGAGCTGCTAACTGGTAAAGCCGGTGATGGCAGGTGGGGGTTTGTGACAGTTGTTTCTACTTTGGTGTATGTTTGAAGGTTTTCACAAGGAAAATTTTTCTTAAGTACTCTCCAAGATGCCAGGCAGCAGCAATGCCAGCTTCTTGAAGGAGGGTTTTGTTACCATCTAGGTCTTCTCTGAAAAAAGAAAGAGGAGGAGGGGATGGGAGGGGCGGGGGAGAAGGAATAATTTAAAAAAAAAAACCCTTCTATGACTCTCTTCAAGACATTGTCAATTCCCTGGAGGCCCAGTGGTTAGGACTCTGCACTCCCACTGCAGAGGGCATGGTTTCATTCCCTGGTCGGGGAACTAATGTCCCGCGCGCTTTGAGACATGGCCAAAAAAAAAAAAAAAAAGACACTGCCCCATTAAGCATATGGCAGAAGGAAAGAGAGGAGGGAAAAAAAAAAAAGAGGGGAGCCTATTGAACAAGTTATCAAGTCAGCAGAGAAAACAAGCCATGTCAGTATTAGATCATTAAATCAGCATTCTGGCAAAAAACAGTATTTCCAAACATTCTGATGACAGCTGGATCAAACCCGCCAATACTTGACAGTAATAAATATAGTTATTTGGGAAGAAAAATAGGGAGTGACCTTACAGTTCCACTGAAATATGCCAAATAAGGAAAGCTTGAAGCTGTAGGAAATGGAAAAGAACGGCTAATATTTGGCAAGCTTCCTTTACGATCAACAAATTAAAATGTTAAGGAAGCAATTTGTTGAGAAAAGATATTTTTAAAAGGAGCTGAATCATGCAGGTTCGGCCCCGGATATGGTCAATTGGTAATTTTAAATCATTTTTTAAAAGTTAATGTTTTCAGCCCCCAGAAATTGCATTTGAGATGGCGCTGAGTTAATCATAAGCCTGCCTCCCTCGCGGCTCAGGTGGCGGGAGGAGGGAGGAGGGAAGCCTTAACTTTGTTTCCCTGCAGCTCTGCCCTTAACCCCCGGTCAGTGGCCTGCAGACGCAGCCCCCACCGGGTCACTTGAATGATAAGGGGATAAACAAAAGTACAGCCTCTGTGGCTTTCTGCTTCTAAAGACAAGCTGGATGCTGGTCCACTTTTAATCACTAGCCATCTGACCTACTTGGAATCTAGAAAGCTTGATGCTACTGGATTTCTTCCACAAAGAAAAGGTACAGGTGTACCAGTTTTCACGATCTGTGGATAAATAGGAGGATTCCTTTTTCTTCCCACTCGCTCCACAACCCTCACATGCAACAGGCCACGTGCATTAGGCTGAATGGCGGTTTCCCTCCCTGCCCAAACGTCCACGTTTCTCATCCTCCGAAGCTATGGAGGAGGACGTTCTTATGATTAAAAGCTGTTCCCGTCCTGAGGGCCAAAGTGTACCTTCGTTAAGGCACCACAGTTTACCTGGGGGGAGGGGCAGCTTTTATAAATAGTGCTTCACGTGACAGTAAGTCACTGTAGAAGAAAAGGTCCAGGGAGGGAGGGGCGGTGCAGGGTCAAGAGGGGTTGTTAGCCTACATGGGGCAGGAAGGGAACACCTGAGGCCTCAAGAAAGTAAAGCCCACCAAAGCCAGCCCCTATAGTGGAACCCTCCCCCACCAACCCCAGAAGAGAAACCAAACGCTGTGGGAGAGACTTTCGTCCATTTGCCTGCTTACAAGCTGCTCAAGCTTTGTCATAACCTTGAGGAATCTAGATACTGCTTTAAAAAAAAAAGAATCAGTTCCCTGGTAATGAGCAATCCTCCTTGGTAACAACTGAAACACATATCGGGTTTTGAAAACCCTTCTTGGTTCCAGTGTTTTTAGCGGCTCATACCGAGGGGAGCGGCCTGTGTGCCCAGCACTCAGTTAAAACGTCAGACCTGCGGTGGTGGAGGCCAACACTGGTCCACACTGGACCGCACTCATGGGGTGGCCCCGGGGTACCCTCCAGACAGCACCTCAGAAAGGGCTGCCCTGAGGGGGCCACTCAGCTCCTGTGAGAACTGCCAGCGCCCGGGGCCAACCCACCCAAGGGGGACAAGCCTGGCCGGAGGCGACACGTGGGAGCAGACAAAGTCAGAGCTGGCCACACAGTCCAAGGCAAGTCAGCCAGCCTGGAGGCCCCAGAATCTGCAGGGGTCCATTCTATCAGCTGGCCAAGGCCTTGGCTCGGCCCCAATCAGAATGGAGACGAGAACCCCCCTATCTATTGGTGAAGTTTATGACACACCTCCAACCCCCCACGTCAGTCAGACTGAAGCTGCCTGGCCTCGCTGAGATAGAGGTCAGCTCAGCGTGTCTTGTGGGGCCTGAGTAAGGGTGGCTTCACAGTCAATGTTTTTGTTTGTTGGCTGCACCATGCGGCAGGCAGGCCTGAACCCGGACCCCAGGAGTGAAAGCACTTGAGTCCTAACCGCTGGACTGCCAGGGGATTACCATCACATTGTCTTCAGTCCGTTTTCACAGGCACAGCTAAACGTGCAGACTCTGCCAAGTTGGCTGTGGACACAGCGCATCCCGGCTCCAGTGCTCCAGGTGGAGCGGGCGGGGAAACTGAGCGCCCGCGACGTGGACGCACAGCCCAGCCAGTGGAGCAGCGAGGGCCTCCGCGCGGGCTCACGGGACCTCGCTCCCCGGACTCAGGATCTTACTGAGGAAGCTGAACTCTGAAAGTTACCAGGAATAACTAAGGGGGGAAAAAAAACTCTGCCTCCAAAAAACCCCAAAAGAAATAAGAGAAAAACCTAAAAACCTCCTTGCAATTTTGAAAAGCTGCAGGAGGGCTAAGTGGTTCTGACCTAAGTCGAGGTTAATGGGCGACAGGCTGGTCCGGCAGGTGTGGGGCCAGCCCACCCTCCAATCCCCCGCTACCTCCTGGGTGGGTGGGAAGACAGGCCCTCAGGTGCCCACACGCACGTTAACTCTCCTTGGTTGAATCCCATCCTCTCGCTTCACCTGACTCCAACCTCACTCTGCTTTATTTAATTCAAAACAGCTGATTTCAGAGGCTCTCGTCCTCATCTTTCATTCTAGTCCACATCATTCCAAAAGCCGACTATTAAATAAGAGCGGTGAAAGGCCTTTCTGTGTTGAAAACATCTTTTATGTGTTGAAAGTGGATGAAAGCCATGCATTTTG